GGCTATGATTGGGTTTCATTAAACGCTCTTACCTGATGGAAGAAATCCTCCATGAAATGGTCTTTCTCAACCACAACAACTGTGTCTCCATCATCATTCTTCCTACACTACAATGAAAAATGGAAAATTTAGATTTTTAAAATTTTTATGTAGGCACATATAGAGAACTGAAATACAAAAACAGTTCAATACCCACAAGATCTCAACTCACTAGAGCACCAAATTGTAACAAACTAGCAGCCACCACTATCTACCCCAGCTGAACTCCACAACATTTTCAACAGAACAGATCCTGGCTGAAGCAGCCGGGAAGGTGCAAGACCTGGACAGAAGCAAGGCGTGGCTTTCTCAGAACTAAGCTGCTTAGAATCGTTTAGTTCTCACTATGTAAGTCAACATCACACAGGCCAGTTTCACCTTCAAGAAGCGAACCTGCTTGTGTTGCATATTTTCCATAAACAGTAAAAACACTGGCCGGCCACAGTGGCTCACGCCTGTAATCCCAGCACTTTAAGAGGCTGAGGAGGGCGGCTTGCTTAAGTCCAGGAATTCAAGACCGGCCTGGGCAACAAGATGAAACCCTGTCTCCACAAAAAATTAGCCAGGCATGGTGGCACATGCCCGTGGTCCCAGCTACTTGGGAGGCTGAGGTGGGAGGACTACCTGAGCCCAGAAGGTTGAGGCTGCAGTGACCCTGTATCTAAAAACAAACAAAAACAAAACAAAACAAAACCCCAACATCATCCAGAAGAACGACCATTGATCAGGAGCTGAAGACCTGGGCTCCAGCCTCCTCCCCAGCAGCCCATTAGCTTGTCTCAGTCGCTGCCTCTTGTCCATGAAATAGAGAGAGTATTCTCCCATCTCCATCGGAAGACCCTAAGGATAAGATATTTATCAGTGTTTTATAAGGTAACACTACTTTCATGGGTCATATTAATATATAAACCAATAAAGGCTTTTGAAATTACTTCTAGTCCCTACTCTTTTTTTTTTTTTTTGGAAACAAAGTCTAGCTCTGTCACCCAGGCTGGAGTGTGGAGTGCACAGTGGCAGGATCTTGGCTCACTGCAGCCTCCGCCTACCACGTTCAAGTAATGCTTGCGCCTCAGCCTCCTGAGTAGCTAGGATTACATGCACCTGCCACCACACCCAGCTAATTTTTTTGTATTTTTAGTAGAGACGGGATTTCACCATGTTGGCCAGGCTGGTTTCGAACTCCTGAGCTCAGGCAATCCGCCCACCTCACCCTCCCAAATTGCTGGGATTACAGGCATGAGCCACTGCACCCAGCCCGTACACTTGTCATTTTAAGCAAAGAAGCACTTCAAGACAAAATGGTAATCAACTGACAAGCAGCAGAAACTAACATTAAGACAGACCCCACATAGTCTAACACTCTTCTCCAGGATCCCACACCACTCTAAAAACCAAAAAAGAACGGCTGAAGATACTGAGTGCCAGTGCCCAGGGTCTGCAGGAGGCAGGCCAGGTGTGTTATCTGTCAATCCTCCTGGTACCACACCCCCATCCCCGCCATGAGGCAGGTACTGGCATGGCTACTTCAGAGTAGAGCACATGCTCAATGGTTATGGTCTCGGAGCTAAGCGGTGCCGAACCAGTAGGTGAAGCCAGTCCGTCTGACTTTCCTCCATCTTAACAGCTGTACCATGTTGAGCCTCTTAAAAAGAATAAGAGCTGTCCTTTAGTGCCAGCGCACAAGCGGCAGGCAATTTGAAACACGCTCCACACATGTTCTCATTGGTTTTATGGGCCCCACGTTGCCAGTGAGGAGGCGGAAACACAGTGCAGGGATCACTCGGCAGGGACGGCAGAGCAGAAGCGGCCTGTGGCTGTGATTCCACACCCTCTGCTCTGACAAGCACACTCTGCCCTGGGGGAAGATGGGATGGGGGAAGAGCTGTGCTGCGGAGCCCCACCAGCCAGGGAGGAGCTGTGCTGCGGAGCCCCACCAGCCATGCAGGCCAGGCCCCACAGACTCCCCTTGCAAGGACTCCCTCTCTTAGACAGAGGATCTATTCCCGTGTGTGCCAGCCCCGCCTCTCGGGCCCACAGCCTGCTCCCTCCCTGTCTCCAAGCGCTCACTTGGGCAAACTAAATCCCACTAGCTGGGCCCGGGGTCTCACTGCTTCCCTGTGGCTATCTGCCTTGTCGTCTCAGCTGTGCAGTCTCAGAGGCGCAGGGCCAGGAATGATGGAATGAAGCATGACCACGTTAAGTCGTTGACTGTGCATTCACCCAAATACCCATGGAGGGGGTGGGAGGAGGGGTGGAGAGCTGAAACTGAGCTGCAGACTGCGCTTGTGGCCCTGAGCCCGGGGCCATAAAAGTGCTTCACCCCACCCTGGAGGTGCCACGTGGCTCTCAGGGCATCTCACACCTCCCTGCTCTGTCAGTAACTTTAGGTTCTAGATTCAAAGTCACCTCATTTTTGTTTATTTGGAAAACTGTAAACATATACAAAAGTAGAAGGAATACTATGGGTGAGCCCTCACTGTCCCCATCACCCAGGCTTAACAATGGTCAAGCCACAGCCTGTCTGTTTAGGTTGACACCCGCCTCTTCCCACCACTTCCTACCCCACACCATAAGACCATCTTGAGGCAAATCCCACGAGGCAGATGCTACTGTGGAGACTGCACCTGCGGCTCCAGCAAAGAGGCTGCACCCATCTCACTGCTCCCCAGCACCACGCTTCCCTGTGAAAGCAAGTCACTTTCCATGGTGACCTTCCCATGCTGTGCGATGGCTCCCACAGTGGCGTGGTGTAAACAACTAGAGGCTCAGTCCTCCTCTCCCATGGTGACTGTCCCATGTTGTGCAATGCACCCCCACAGTGGTGTGGCGTCAGTCCTCCTCCACTCTGAATCCATGGCACAGGCAGATTTTTGTTCCGAGTCATTCGCTTGCTGGTAAACAATGTGGTTCTCTACCTGTAGACCAGGAAAGATCCACATGACTGGAATATGTTTCCTCTACCGTCTTCTTATTCCTAAGCCTTGACTTATATGTCTTATTTCTACCTGGAACTCTTAAAACTGATCAGATAACAGGAAACAGACCCAATAATACTGTCTGTGCTTTTCCATTCAAAAAAAAAAAATGACCAAAGCAATCTTTTTGGCTTTATCCCTAAGCTACATTATTCTCATCTTCAATGAATGTCCACGTTCAGTCTTTCAAGCTGAGACAGTGCAACAGCTGTACAACAGCCATGATTATGAGAGGGTATTCATTGTAAATAACCAAACCACTTGTGGCAAACGTTTACTAAAAGCCAGGGAATACTCTCCTATATGACATACTTGATTTCCCAAGTGTCAAAGTACAGGATAAACATTTAAATATCAGCATTCCATTTCTGTTACATGTTAACAGAAGTCTCCTTAAAAGAAGCATTATAGTAAAATCACAACTCCCCCGTGTGAATACTATTGTCAGGAACAGGTAGCAGGTAGCTTCCTGGTGTAGAAACTGTGTAACAGAAAAGAGAGTCATTGGAACACTCATCATTTATAATTCAACAGAAGCTGAACTATCACAAATGGCAGAATCCAAAGCTGGACAGAATCCTGGCTTTCTTCTGCATGTTGTTCACACACACATGCTAAGGAACTTCCACACAAATAGTAACTGTAGACAAATAAATTACAAACCTTGACATAGACACAGTGGTTTTAGTACTATGTTGCTAGAATACTTTGACTTATTTTTCACAATTAAATCACTTAGGTAGAAAAAGAAAAGACCTGTAACTAAACGTAGGTAAAAGCTGGCCGCGTGCGGCAGCTCATGCCTGTAATCCCAGCGCTTTGGGAGGTTTAACTGGGAGGATCACTGGAGCTCCAGAGTTTGAGACCAGCCTCGGCAACATGGTGATACCCCATTTTTGGTACAAAAAATACATAGATCAGCCAGGTGTGGTGGCTCACACTTGTGAGGATCCCCCGAGCCCAGGAGATTGAGGCTGTACTGAGCAGTGATGGTGCCACTCCAGCCTGGCGACAGAGAGAGACTTTGTCTCAAAAAACAAGTAAGTAAATGCTGACTCTGGGCCAGTGTGTAACTATGGTGCTAAACGTAACCTACTCTCTCATATTTGTGTATGGTGAATTACACTTTTATACCCACGATAAAATGTTACACTATTTTAAATTTTTTTGTATTTTTACTAACACTTGTTCCCATTATTATTATATAAATACTTTTTAACAGGCACTTAGACTTTATGTAAGTAGTGTTATACTTATGCAATTTTTTTTTTTTTTTTTTTTGAGGCAGGGTCTTGCTCTATCACCCAGGCTGGAGTGTAGTAGTGTGATCAGAGCTCACAACAGCTTCGACCTCCTGGGCTCAGGCGACCCCTTCGCCTCAGCCTCCTGAGTAGCTGGGACTACAGGTACACATATTTTTTTTAGAGATGAGGTCTAGCCATGTTGCCCAGGCTGGCCTTGAACCACGGGCCCAACCAATCCTCCCACCTTGGTCTCCCCGAGTGCTGGTATTACAGGCGTGAGTGACTGCACCCAGCCTGCCTCTGCAACTTAATCATATTTTTTTTGTTTTTTTGGTTTTTTTCCTCTCAGCTATACATTCAGATTTCTCCACTCAGCATATATCGCTCTAGTGTTAGGTGAAACCACACCATATGGGTCAACCTCATACACTCATCTTACCTGCTGCGTACACTCCTTTACATAAAAAGCCACGATGTGTTATTCATCCAGGCTCCTATTGTCCCTAACATTTTTCCGTTACCGACAATGTAACAAACCACGGTTACACGGCTGCACATGCATGGCAGGCTGGTTTTCTGGAACACACACACATATGCAGAGAGAGGACCATGAGCCATGGGGCTGAAGCGTCTTCAGCTTCACTAAACAATGCCAAATTGCTCTGTCCAAAGCAGTTGCAATAAATTGGATGCCCCCAGCACGGCACGTGGACATAAGACACTGCCAGGCTACTCTTGAGCTACCAAGGGCCCATCCCATGATCTCACCCAAGGAATAAGGATCAAAACTGACATGATGAAGCCCAGAGAGCCTGAACTAGAGAGGATTTAAACTTGGGAGCTGGGGGC